TGTGTTAAACGTCTATATTAATTTGGGGAGAATCGATATCTTTATAATGTTGAGTTTCCCAATCTATGAACATGGTCTCTCCATATTTAGATCTTCTTTGACTTCTTTCATTAACTCTGTGTAGTTTTTGGCATACAAATCCTGTTCATGTTTTTAGATTTACTTAAGTAATTCTCTCTCTCTCTCTCTCTCTCTCTCTCTCTCTCTCTCTCTCTCTCTCTTTTTTTTTACCAATTATAAATGGCATTGTATTTTTAATTTTTAATTTCTCGATGTACATGTTTATTGCTCATATATACCACATTTTTGTATGTTTATCTTATATTCGGTAATTTTGTTGAACTCACTTGTTAGTTCCAAAAGTTTTTTAATATATTCCTTGGGATTTTCTATATAAATAATCATGCCATCTGCAAATAGGAACAGTTTTAGTTCTTCCTTTCTAATCAGTAGTCCTTTTATTTCCTTTTCTTGCCTTATTACACTGCCTAGGGATCACAGGATTATGTTGAATAAGAGTAGTAAGAACAGACATCTTCGTCCTGTTTCTGATCGTAGCGGAAAAGTATTCAGTCTTTTGCCATTAAGTAGAATACTACTTGTAGCTTTTAAAATATGCTTTAAGTAAATTTCATTCAGTTCAATGTTTTTTAAAATTTCTCTTGAGATTTCTTTGAGCCATGGAAAACTTAAAAGTTGTTGAATTTCCAAATATTTGGAGATTTTTTGTGTTATAGTTATGTTATTGGTTCTAATTTGAGTCCATGTGGTCAGAAGACACATTCTATATTATTTCAATTCTTCAAATTTATTGAGGTTTGTTTTATGGCTCAAGATATGGTCTATCTTGGTATGAGTTCTGTGGACATTTGAAAGAAATGTCTATTCTGCCATTGTTGAGTGCAGTATTCTATAAATGTCGATTAGGTCCTATTGGTTGGCGGTATTTTTGAGTTCCCCTATATCCTTGCTGAGTTTCTATGTAGTTGTTCTGTCAATTGTTGGAAGAGGAGTGTATCAATGTGGTTTTGTCTATTTCTTCTTTTAGTTCTACCAGTCTTTCCTTTACATATTTTGCAGATCTGTCATTTGGTGCATACACATTTAGGATTACTGTCTTCTTGAGGGAATGACATTTTCATCTTATATATTGTCATTCTCTGTCTCTGGTAGTTTTCTTTGCTATGATATTGACTTTATCTGTCACTCAAATTGCTGCCTCATAGGTAAGGTGTCATTTTTCTCTGGTTGTTTTGAGGATTTTGTTCTTTGTCTTCAGTTTACAGAAGTTTAATTATGTTGTGTCTTGATGTGGATTTCTTTAGGTTTATCCTACTTAAGGTTTGCTTGGCTTCTTGAATCTATAGGTTAATGTCTTTTATCAAATTTCAGAAATTTTTTGCCATTATTTTTTTAAGAGTTTTTTCCAATCCTATTTTTTCTCTGGGACTCCACTGACACAAATATTGGATCTTTCATTGTAGTCCCACAGGTCCCTATGGCTTTGCTCATTTTTTTCAAGTCTATGTTCTTTCTTTTGTTCAGATTGTAAAATTTCTCTTGTTTCATCTTTCAGTTCACCGAGTCTTTCCTCTGTCCTCTCTATTTGCTGTTGGGTCCATCTACTTATCTTTATATTTTGGTTATTGTATTTTTCAGTTCTAAAACTTCCATCTGGTTCTTTTTTATTATATCTTCTATTTCTTTGCTGAGGCTTTCTAGTTTTCATTTGTTTCAAGCATGTTCGTAATTGCTTGCCGAAGGATGTTTTTAAAATCATGACTAATTTTAAATTTTGTCAGAGAATTCTACCATTTCTTTCATCTCATTGTGAGCATCTATTGATTTTTTTTCACCCAGTTTGAGATTTTCCAAGTTCTTGGTATCATGAGGGATTTTTGATTGGAACCTGGACATTTGAGTGTTACGAGATTCTGGATCTTATTTAAACTTTCTGTTTTAACTGGCTTTCTTTGACACCACTCTGTCAAGGGAAGGGGCAATGCTACCTTATCACTACCAGGTAGTAGAAATCTAGATTTCCTTCTTGTCTTCCATTGCCATGAGAGGAGGGTGATCCTCGTTACTGCTGGGCAGAAGTGGAAGCTCCAGCTACTTATTTGGTCTCCATAGACCCTGCTGTGGAGGTGGCCTCGTTATTGCTAGGTGATGTTGAAAGTCCTGACCCTCCATTAGGCTTCCTCTGACACTACCCCAGCAAGAAGTGGTGCCTCATGACTGCTGGGTGGGGTCTGGATGTTCAGGCTCCTCATATGATCTCCAATGACATTGCAAGGGTTGAAGATTCTTGTCCTCGGCTGGTGTAGATGAACATCACAACTCTCTACTTTGCAACCCTTGACACAATCCCAGTGGGTGTTGGATGCCTCATTACAGCCTCAGGAGGATAATGCTGGAATGGGTGGGGGTGGGGCCACAGTTTTTGCCTCTGGTATTTGACTAGAGTTATCATCTAAAAGTGTTTTGTCTTGATAAGTTGCTCCTTTCCTGGTCTTTTGGCTAAAGAAAAAGGGTCTTTTTGAAGCTTATTTTTGTCTGTGCCCATTGGTATTTCCAGGTTGCCAACTTCTTCAGCTCCAAGACTGGGATAAATGAAGCAACAAAAAAACTCTCCACCATGTTCTTCAGGTCCTGAGGTCCCTATCATTCTGCCCACTTCTCTATACCTTTCAAAGTCTTCTTAAGTCAGTTGTATACATAAGTTCAGGGTTTTCAATTGTGCTTAGTGAGAAGAAAAGCACAAAGTATGTTATTATGGACTGAATTGTGTCCCTCCAAAATTTAAATGTTGAAACCTTAACTCTCAATGTGATGATATTTGAAGATGGGGTCTTTGGTAATTAGGTTTAGATGAGGTCATGAGGGTGGGGCCCTCATGATGGGATTAGTGCCCATATAAGAAGAAACACCAGAGAGCTTGTTTTCTCTCTCTCTCCATCACGTGAGGATACAGCAATAAAGTAACATCTGCAGGCCAGGAAGAGAGTCTTTTCCAGAACCTAACCAGTTGGCACCCTGATCTTGGACTTTCAGCCTCCAGAACTATGGGAAAATAAATTTATGTTTTTTGAGTCACCCAGTCTGTGGTATTTTGTTATAGCAGCCCAAGCAGACTAATGCACACATCTACTTCATTTTCCTGAAAGCTCTCATTCTTTTTTTAATTGGATCATTTTATTGTACAAACACAGTGGAATTTGTATGCATACACACTGTGCTGAAGTGCTTCCCCTTTAAAAGATGTAAATGAGTGTACTTGGATTAACTCTGGGCACAGGGGTCAAAACTAACAACTGCCTCATAAATAAATATGCCCCCATGTCTTTTAAGCCTGCAGTTATGTTTTTGGGAAAAAGATGTGATTTATGACATTTATCAAGCTCATTAGAAATGAGTCATTTTATAATAATATTCTATTAGATTTACATATATACATGAAAGCCCTCATTCTTTTTATTACCTGCATAATAGTTTTATTACCTGCATAAAGAGTTGACCTGTAGTTCAACTCTTTCCTCACTCATCAGTATTCTGATTGAATTTTACTCTTTCATATTAAAGATAATGCTTATAATAACATCCTTGCATAGATATCACAAAATAGTCACAATTTTATTTCTGTCAAATGGATTTTCCAGATAAGCTACTACTAGGCAAAAAGGTTTTAGAATTTTGTGTTTATTGCTAGATTAGTTTTAAAAATTAGTCTAATAATTGATCATTTCATCATGATATCATGTTCTAAGGGAGTAGAATAAAGGTATATACAGTATATCATCTACGTAAATAATACATATTTTCCACACTAAACAAAGATTGGAAAGAAATAAATCAAATGTTGACAGAGGATCTCTGAGTGATAGACATATGCATGCATTTGATTTTCTTCCTTATTCTTTTTTGCATGTGCAAATGTTTTGTAATGAGCGTGTAATACTTCTAAAATCTGAAGAAAAAACGGTAACATCGATCAAATTTTGTAGAAAGGAAGTAACATACTGGAAGGTGCAAATTAATAGGCAGTCAAATCTTATTAAGCAGATGTCATTTCAGCAACATTCATATAACAAAAAGATATCTAAAGATCAATCTGACCTGGCCCACCAATTTCACTTCTCCAAATTTATCCTACAAAGATATTTACATATGTATCCAAAGATACAAGATTTGATTCACCGCAGAATTGTTTGCAATAAACTGTCAGCAATAAACTGAAAATGGCCTAAATGTCCAACAGTATGGGATTAGTCAAATAAATTGTGGTATAATTATACAAAATAACCATACAGTCACTGAAAATAAATGAGGTAGATATATATCCCTATATTGAGATTCATGTACATATGAATATAAAGTAATCTTCAAAATATCTGTCTAATTAAAAAAAAAAACAACAAGGTTAGAACCAGGTGTATTGCTATGATAGGCTCACCACTTGAATGTCTCTTTTGTTATTCATTATCTTATATTCCCAACATCTAGAATATTATCTAGCAATTGGAGAGAGAGGATGTATAGATAATTTAAGAGAAGAGGAGACTATATACATATGGGCTTCCACATGCATAGTTCATCTCTTGGAAACATAGAAACTGATTAAAACAGTTGCCTTTGGGGAAGAGAACTGGGGATCAGGAGGATGGAAATTTATTGTCACCATATATCTTTTCCACAGCTTAAAATTTTTACCATGTACCTGTATTATTTTTTAAGTTATTTTAACTTTAAAATTAATTTAAAAATAAGAAAATAAAAAATAAATTAATAAAAACAAATTTCCAGCTGAAAGTCGACTTATTTCAGGCAATTTAGCAGAATAAAATTCTAGGACTGGAAAACCCCTTGCAGAGTTCGTGGGAGTTGTAGTCCTGGGCTCTGCCCAAGGGTGTGAATTACATAATGGGCACCACAAACTCTGACACCGGGGATGTTCAATCTACAATGCTTTTCTCCCTGGACGGGGAGTCGGGCCACCCTACCTATCATCAAGAATGTTGATGCCGGAAAGGAGTTCGAAGATCTCAGAACCATGATCCCAGAATATTTCCAGCTGAAGCTCATGCTCTTCTTCTGGGAAGCCTGGCAGGGCAGCTCTGCTTTGTCTCCTGCCTTACCCAGCACCACTTCTTTTCCTTGAGTGATGGCTGGGAGAAGCGCTAGGTGGAAAGGAAGAAGGTCAAGCCTCAAGCCAGCAGCTGCCCCACCTCTACCCAGTCCCCCAACCTTGCTTTTCCCAATCAGCCCTTCCTGCCAGGCCATCTGCATCCAAACCCCAATTCTGAGCACTCACCCAGTTGCAGCAGCAGGAGCAAGTGCCTGAAAGAGGATCCCAGGTTCATTGTGGCCTTGCTGAGGCAGGCAGATCCTGGGCCTTCCCCTGCAGACAGGGCGGGGCCTGAGGGAGATACTAATCATTAGGCAGTATTTTGGGGGCCTGGGGCACTCAGGGGTGATATACAATCTTTCCCTTCAAGACCTTACAGCCAAGCCAGGGACCTGGATGTGCATACCTTTAAGCAGAGAATGCCACACAATGCTATACCCAGGCCGGGGTGGGATCTCTACCAGCCGGCATCAGAAAAGGATCGACGGAGAAGGTGGCAGATTGGTAGGGACCAGGGAGCCAAACCAGGTCATGAAGGTCTTTGAATGCCATGCTGGGATGCTGGGACCTGACCCTGGGCCCTGGGAAGCCAGCAAAGAACTTTATGTAGAGAAAGATGTGATTAGATTTTCAAAATGGCTCTCCTGAGCTGCTATGTGAAAGATGAATGGGAGGAGGCCACGCACAGAAGACAGGATTATAACAATCCTGACAGAGAAGATGAGGCCTGAACTCAGACAGCGGTGATGAGAATGTGAGAAGATTGACTAGAGGGACAATTCTGAGGTGAAGTTCCCAGGGCTCGAGGCCTGATAGAGTGTGAAGAGCAAGGGAGAAAGAGCAGAGGATAATGCCCTGCTCTCTAGCAGATTAACCCTATAAGGCCTCTGAGTGGGACAACCATAAAATGCTGTTTCAGCATTTAGATGAAGGAGCAGGAGCAATGTCAGTGGAGATCACATGAGGAGCCTGAACATCCAGACCCCACCTAGCAGTCATGAGGCACCACTTCTTGCTGGGGTGGTGTCATCCTGAGCTTGGAAGACTGTCATTAGCTGGGCTGAAGGGGCTACAGAAAAGTTCTGAATAAACCCTGATGAACGAGCAGCATTAGATTAGAGCAGTGATTCTCAAAGTATGGTTCCAGATGGGCAGCAGCATCACTTGGGAGCTTGTTAAAAATGAAAATTCTCAGGCTCTACCCAAGACCTACTGAATCAGAATCCGGGGTTAGGTCTAGCAGTCTGTGTTTTCATAAACCCTTAGAAAACTGATGCATGCTCAAGTTTGAAAGCCATTGAGTTAGATGGAAAGGAAGAGGATGAGCATCCTGCCCTGTGGTGTGCAGAGGTGTTGGGGCTGTGCAAAGAGGGTTGAGAGTCAAGGGAGGGCTCATGCGGGGAAGTGGTGAGAGATGATGTGGGTCCTGACTGTAAATCTTGACGGACAGGCTAGGGAGCTACGACTTTGTTCTGTAAGTGACCAGGAGCCACTGCTGATGTTTGAGCAGAGATGTGACATGGTCTATGTAGAGCATTAGGAAGTTTGACATGATAAGTAGGGACCAGATGATATGGAGGGAATAGAGACTAGAGGAAGGCCACCAGATAGTACCCCAAAGGCAGGCAGGAGCAGGGCTCAGATGTCTTGGAACTCCAGGCCCAGACCTTGGCAAGATGACAGCCTGCTTCCAGACTTATTTTTCTCTCACTCAAGCCTGGTCTTTCTTTTTCCTAGAAGTCACCTCTGCTATTTAGCTCTCCACAACTGACCCACTCTGAACTCCCGCAGCACCCTGTGGACTCCCTCTTGCGCAAGTCCCACTTTCTATCTTATGAGGTAGTGAATTGGGTTTCCACCTCTCCTCCACCAGCTTGATCTCCACTAAGATGGAGATAATGGCCCAGCCAGCTCTGCCGGCACCATAGGTCAGGTGACAGCTGGAGCACAGAGAAGAGGTTCAAGATGTGTTTGCTTAACTTAAACCAAATTGAAGTTTGGAATAGAAGAAGGAAAATCACTGATTTCTCCTTTCCGCACTCAACATATTAAGTCTGTTACTAAAATGGGTCATTTAAGTGCGTGTACACTCCTAACCCTGGCCTGGATCAAGCCAAGTCATTCAAATCATGCTGCCTATTCTTGGGCACCTCGCCGCCCTCCACCTCCACTCTACTTCATGCCCATTTCCGCTCTGCTCTGCCCTCTACAAAGAGTCTAACACTAAAGACTGCACAGCTCAGGCTCCCTTGCTCTCCAGCTACTAGCTGGGGGTTGACCAATAGAAAGCACCCACAAGAGATGAGAGGGCCAGGGAGAGAGGTTGGGGTATTTTTCCTGAGCCTCTCCCTGCTCTGGGCATATTTTCTGCAAATGGCTGTATTCCCTCCCTGTCCCCTTCCTCTCCCCTGCTGACTACAGCTCCTATCTGGTAGCCCCTTATCCACAGCTCAAACTCTCCGCGAGTTCCAGGAACACCATTTTGGTCCTTGACCCTTCAAGATCCTGCCTGCAATTGCTAGTGTCCATGTGCCTCAAGGTGCTGGTTGGTTCCCTGTCCATATCTCTCTCTGTGAATAGGCCCCTCTCTGCAGTCTCTTGAACCATCTGAGACAGACTGTTTCCTGTTGGGCACTGATCCATGATCGGATGTAGTACTCAGATAGGTGTTGGGGCTTTGGTCCTCCTGATGAGGTTTGGGGGAAGATTGAAAAAAAAAAAAAGGAATTACTCAGGGCCTAACACATGGTAGAGGTTTGACAGAATTTTTTTTTAACCAGGTAAATAAGAAGAGATCTCAGGAAGGAGGGTACCAGGAAAGGAGGGAGGCCAGTTACAGGTGCAGTTGTTTATAAGTTACCTTGGGGCAAAGAGGTATTGAGGGGAAGGCTAAGGTGAGAGAGGAAGAAAGGGAGGGGCACTTCTCTATCTGAGAGTGGTTCCCCCTGTCCCCCCATCCCAAACTCATTGTATCCTTGGTGAGCAGAGAAAAAAGGAGTTTCCTATGGGATATCCCTTCCTTGGGGTCCACATTCAGCTTAGATGCTTGAAGAAGACTGGGATATTCTTGACCCTTCCCCAAATGGTGGTTATTTTTTCCCCCTCACTCCATGATCCTGGGGTCTGCTCAGAGACCCACCTCCTGCCTCCAGTTCCCTGCATTGCCCCAACCCACCCCAAAGGCTCAGCTCAGTAAAGAAGGTATGGGTTTCCACCTGCTTCTTGCTTTGGTGCTTTGGGCTTCCGCTGCCACCCCAGAGAGCTGGCTGGCCTTTGATTCCCACATCCTCAGCCTCCCCAGAGGCTCTCTGCCTCAGTATAGTAGCATCCTGTGCACCACAACCCACAGCCCTAAGAGAAGCTGAGAGGGCTCGCTGTCCCTCAGGTCCTGGCACCTAGTCCTCTCTCTCTCTTTCTCTCTCTCCTTCTCCCTCCTCCCTCCCTCCCTCCCTCCCTCCTTCTCTTCCTCCTTCTCTCTCTCCCCACCCCACTCTCTCCTTGTTTCTCTGCTCACATCTGTGCATTTCTGTATCTGTGCCTCCCCAAGCCGATGCCTCCTCTGTCTTCAATTCTCTGCGTTTTGTCTCTCTATCTCTGTGCCTTATACACCAAGAGACAGTTCTGGCTCTTCTGGTTTCACTAGGAATTCATTCCCCTTGACTTCTGTCCTTTTTCATTTCTCCCCTCTCCAGCTGCCACCAAGCTTTAGTTCCTTTTCTTGCCTGTAAACAGGCATCCAGGCCTAGCAGGAATTTGCTTTTCAACAAGCTTTAATCTGAAGGGAGCCTGCAGAATACAGCCTGGAGCCAAAGGGTGGATGCAAGGGGGGATTGGCTGCAGGGTGGACAAAAGCAAAAAAGACAGAATCCGAGAAACACACGGGGAGGCCCCAAAGGCTGACAACAGGAGGATGGGAAGGTAAGCTGAAAGCAGGGAGAGACCCAGAGCTGCACTGCACAATCCACAATCTCACACAAAGCCCAGGGAAGTACAAACAAGGTAGAGAAAGAGAGAAAGAGATGAAGAAATTCTGAGAGGCAAGACACATGCACAGTGCAGTAGACCAAAAGGCGGAGAGCAAGGGAGCGATGAGACCAAAATGGCAACACACACCCGCACACTCAGAGCCCTTGAGGTTCCTGCTGCCTTCCCCCTGGCCCACTGAGATGGGATGAGGAGCGAGGCTGGGGAGAGGAAGAGGGCACAGCCCCACCACAGCGACAGTCTGTGGTCCCACAGGCACTTTTATCTTTTCCCCATGGCCTCCAGTCAGCCCCCTCAAGCCCAGCCACGGGATGTGCCCCCCACCACACACACCCTCTCTACTGCTTACTGGCTTCACATAAACTTCCTAGAGACCATGACCCCTCTAAGGCACCTTTGTGGTTCGGTGGCTGCAACCTCCACCATCCTCTCCTTTGCCCCAGACACCCACGCTCAGGAGCTGTGCCCGCCCTCCTTACCATATCCCCCGAAAGGTGCGTAACAGGGCTCAACCTTAGAGCCTTACAAACCCAGACCCTCATCTGCCCCCTCCCGGCACCCACCCTCATCAAAGTCATTTCATTCAGCTCCCTCGATGCCACCTCACCGATGCTAGGATTGGGGCCTAGGGCACGAGAGGCTTCTGCCTAGAACCATTTGGTGGGGGAAGCCACTTATTTCGAAGTAGACCTCTTCTATGTAAGTGCCCCCAAACTGAAAGAGGGAAATCATCTGGTGAGTTGCCTCTGACCCTGTCTTCTGGGAATTCTCTCATCGGAGGTTAAGAGGGCGGCCATTTTGTATGAATCTACAGAATCCAACACAACCCAAGATATTGTCAGAACACGAAGCAACAGTGATCTCCCCCATCAGGCTCTACTCTCAGCCTTGCACCCCTGAAACGTTGCCCCACAAGAGCAGGACACTCAGGAGGTGATATTCCAGCCAGAACAAAATCTTTGAAGCAGCGAGAATAGGGCCTTTTAATTTTGAGGAATCTGTACGGAGGAGGTCCCTCTCCCAGAATATGTCTGGGAAGGATGCCTGGGGACAGGGCTGCAAGGCCGTGGAGGTCTTAGGAGAAGAAAGGACTAGGCTGTGGAGTTGTACAGAGCATCCCATCTTGAGGGGTATCACCTCCTAAGTCCTCCCCACACGCAACAAAACCCGGGGTAGGGAGAGGGTCTGCAAATCCTTTTCTAACTCCCTAACCTCCCTTTCCAGAGCAGCAAAGATACCTAAACCCAATTCTCTTAGAACCAATTTTTCCAATAATGCATTTATCTAAAAATATGTCTCTCTCACTTTAACAGCATTTCATACATAAGAGCTCAGTTTCAACCCTTTTTGAGAATTTTAACTTTCCCATTTCATTAATCATTTTAAAGCTAATAAAAGGGAAGGGCCTTTCGATATATGGCTCAAAAATCCTAAAAATTCACAAAAGTAGACAAAAATGTAAAAAATACACACAAAAAGAAAAGAAAGTTAACAGAAGCTGTTTCAATCATGTGGCTTATGAAATGCTGCAAGTATTTCTGGTGGAACTTTTCGGTGATTGTGTCATTGGGGTCATTGGGAAAATCGATTTGGGGAGAATTTCCTCTAAAATAAATTTCTCTTCCTCTTTTTCTCGCTTTATCTTTGTTTTCTCTTTTCATCATTTTTTATAGGCCTCCTCCCTCCTTAATATTTAGTCATTCTTTCTATTTCTTTCCCACTCCTTCTTTCCTCTTTTTTTTTTTTTTTTTTTGTCTCTTTTCCTCCTCTATCTTCATTTGCTCCATTCCCCATGATTAGTTGCCTTCCACTGCCTCTCTCAGCCTGCGGCGGCCTCGGGTCCCCATTTCTTCTTTAATCTTGTAATCCCAGTTGACACGCCTCGAAGGAGCGCTTTCTACTCTGGGCACTGAGCTGTGCTAGGTGGAGATGTGGAGAGGAATTTGGCATAGTTCCTGGCATAGTGCTTAAAGCCTACAGTTCCAGGGGGAAATCGCTATTCATGAAACGCAAGAGAAAGTGGCCAGAGAACTGGAAGTCCAACACATCTGCTGCCATGTTCTCTTCCTCTTCCCAGACCCACAGAAAGGAATGAAATTGATTCTGTCCTCTTACCTCTGAGCCTATGTCTTTTGTCCTCTCTGCTTCTGCTTCTTGCACAGGTGTGCCTAAGTGAGGGCTGGGAGCTCTGCCACCAGGAGCCCACTGGGGAGAGCACTCGTTACTCCTGCAAGGACAAACTTAAACGAAAAGACAGGAAACTCGGTTATGAGGCTCCACCACACCCTAGGCCTGGGCCAGCCCCTAACGTCACCATCTGGGGCTGGGGTCCCCACCCCCCGCCTCTCAGGGAAGCTGTCAAAGTGAAAATGCCAAAGTCAAGGGGAAAAAGTAGAACCAAGCAAGAGCCCAGAGCATAAATTACTTGTTGGACGCAAGAGTATCACTGTGCTTTTTGCTGCATGGCAAGAAAAAGATTGTATCAGTGATACTGCCATCTGGCCTGGTCTTCAGGAAAACAAGAAGTGGGAGGCAAGTGGAGGGCACATGAGAGCAGATGTGGTAAGAGATCAAGAGCTAAATGGAGTTGTTTTAAAACAACTCCTAGGCCCCGAGGGCACTTGCTCTTAGGTAGGTGCAAGAGGCAGAAAGGGCCTGGGCTGGGCGGAGGATATCTGAAGCACCCAGAGTGACCAGGGACCTGAACTTTGTCCCTCTGGGCCTTTGTCTCTAGCCAACTCTTAAATGTTTATCTCTAGCCCTGACCTCTCATGAGCTCCAGATGTGTATATCCATCTGCCCATTGGACGTCTCCATTTGGAAGTTCACCAGACACAGTAAACTCAACCTGTCTCAAACTAAACTTATCATCTGCATACTACTACCTTCTGTTAACCTAAATATAGGACTTTCAAAGTGAGAGGCAACAAGCATTTATTTGAGATCAGAATAGCTATTTGGGGGAAGCATTGATTCAGGCAGAAGCCCAAATAATGTTTCAATTAGGATACAAAGGCAAGAGGTATTTATTAGAAAGAGATGAGAAATAATTACATCAATAGAAGGAAGGCATTTCTATTGGTGCAGATAATATAACGTAGTGATGTTTATTCTAAAGAATGATTTTAATTTTCAGTCCATTAGCCACTAGTTCAATAGTCATGATATCTGCTTTCTTCTTTTCCTTGCAAACAGTTCTTTGGAACAAAATGTTGCTCAGGCCCAGTCTGTCTAAAGGTTTTTTTGCCCTGTTTTAACATTCCAAAGGTTTGAGGCATAAGATGTTCTCTAGCATAGCAGCTCCAGCTTCATTTTAAAACACCTCCATTTAGTCTACAGCCATGCTACCCTGAACAAGCCCGATCCTGTCTAATCTCAGAAGGTAAGCAGGGTTGGGCCTGATTTGTACTTGGATGAGAGACCACCTAGGAAGACCAGATGCTGTAGGTGTAAAAAGTAAAAACATAAGGAATTGTAAGCTGACAAAGTCCTTGCAATCTGTGAGGTCAAGCAAGGGTTGCCTCGCCTAAGGAAAAAAAAAAAAAAAAAGAACCTCCATTTATTATTTTTTTTATACCTCCAATTCTACTTATTCAAGTCTTCCATTCAGTGAGGGCTTCACCATCCACCAAGCTACTCAAGCCAAATACACTGGGTATACTCTTTGATTCCTTCTTTACTCATCCCTTCGCATGTGTTTATTTACCAATTCCTGTGGATGCTGTCTTCTAAATAGCTCTGAAGTCTATCCAACTGCCCCACTGCCACTATTCCTGAGCAACGCGCCATTTCGTCCTTTGCCTCGCCTAAGGATCCTGACTCCTCAGTGGACTCCTGACTCCTCAGTGGTCTCCTGGCCTCTCTATTTTTCTTCCTCCAGGCCATCCTCGGCACAGCAGCCTGAGTGATCATTTAAATATGCACGTCATCATGCCATTCCCCTCCTAAAAGGAAAAGTGACTAGTTCAGCTTGCAACTCCAAGTTTATACAAGTGTTTCCACCTGAGACAATCATTGTGCTTCATTTGCGGCAGAAGCGCTTCTCTCATTTCATAACATTTCATAACAAATGAGAAGTGCTACGTCTCATTCCATAACACAATGTACTCAAGGGTTGAAATTTAATAAAATTAATATTTTCTGCTTCATCAAGGGCATTCTTAAGTGAAACTGGCATTAATTTTTTTTTCCTTTTTTACTGCAAGTGCCTGGCGGTGAAGAATACAATGACTATAGTATGGTTTGGCTCCATTGCCTTGATTTGTGCTAAGGCAGCAGTCTATCTCAGATTGCTTTTGCAACATCATTGCAATGTCAACACAGTGACAAAGGCAAATAACATTCTAATACTTTTATGAAAATATCTGGACACCGCAAACTCCCTGACAGAGTCTCAGGGACCCCCCATGGACCACACCTTGAGAACCACTAATCTAGAAAATGTGTATTCATTCTTCAGATATTAACTACCTCTCTGCGCAGAACTTTTGTTATTCTCAAAATCTGTTTTCTTTTTCTTCCTTAATAATTCCCTCGATTTTTAGCAGAGCTCGTGGCTGCCTAGATTTAAGTCATACTTCCCAGTCTCTCTTGCAGCTGGATGTGGCTAAATGACTCAGCATAGGTAAAGAGGGAATGTTAGGTGCACCCTCTAAGGAGCATCCTTAAAGGGAGGTACTTCCATCATGGGAAGGCATGGATCC